CTATCCCCTTCCTAACTCCCTACCTACACTCACCTTTACTGGCTCCATCCCCGCCTCTTCGACCTGTTTGTTTCCTCTCCACCTATCCTCTCCTCTATCCCTCTTCTATCCGCATCCCACTCTCTCCCTATTTATTTCAAAACCCCCTTCCCCTCCCCCTTTTCTGATGAAGGGTCCAGGCCCGAAACGTCAGCCTCTCTGCTCCTATGATGCTGCTTGGCCTGCTGTGTTCATCCAGCCCTGCACCTTGTTGTCTCGGATTCACCAACAATCTTTCCTGGTCCACCCATGTTGAGGTTACTGTCAAGAAAGTACAACAACGCCTCTACTTCCTCAGGAGGCTAAGGGAATTTAGCATGTCCTCAAAGACTCTTACTAACTTTTATAGATGCACCATAGAAATGCATCACAACTTGACATGTCAACTGCTCTACCCAGGACCGTAAGAAACTACAGAGAGTTGTGAACACAGCCCAGTCCATCACACAAAACAACCTTCCATTCATTGACTCCATCTACACTTCTCGCTGCCTGGGAACGGCGCCAACATCATCAAAGACCCCTCCCATCCCGGTTATAATCTCTTCCAAACTCTTCCATCCAGGCAAAATACAAAAGGTTAAACCCACATACTCCTTCCCCGCTGCTATTAGATTTCTGAATGGACTTCTCCAATTTTAAATTTAATGTTGATCTCACTCTTTGTGCACCTTCTCTGCAGCTGTAAGACTGTATTCCTCGCTCTGTTCTATTATCCTGATACACTTTGTATGGTATGATCTCCCTGTACTGCACACAAAACAAAACTTTTCACTGTACCTAGGCACATGTGACAATAATAAATTAAATCAAGGGTCACCACATTTTCTTTTACATATTCACAGGGCAAGGACTTTGCTGGCCAGGCAGCATTTATTGCCTATCCCAGAGGGCAATTAAGTGTCAACCGCATTTCTGTGGGTCTGGAATCACACATAGGCCAGACCAGGTAAGGATGGCAGATTTCCTTCTCTAAAAGACATTAGTGAACCAGAGATAGTAAGAACTGCTGATGCTGGAGTCAGAGATAACACAGTGTGGAGCTGGAGGAACACAGCAGGCCAGGCAACATCAGAGGAGCAGGAAAGCTGACGTTTCAGGGTCTGCTGGCCTGCTGTGCTCCTCCAGCCCCACACTGTGTTATCTCTTCATGACCCAGAGGGGACTTCCCCCTAACAATCCACAATGCTTTCATGATTGTCATTAGCTTCTAATTCCAGATTTTTATTGAACTCATATTCTACCATCTGATGTGGCGGGATTTGAACCCAGGTCCCAGACCATTACCTGGGTCCCCTGGATTAAGGATAATACCACAAGGCCATCACCTTCCTCAGCACCTCAGATAAGAGGTAAGGTCAGGAAGGCAGGAAACATGATGGTGACCTCAGCCAGAGCAGGAACTGAACCCATGCATTATGGTGCACGGTAACCAGCCTAAAGGACTAACCCCCAACCCATACTAAAAAAGCATCACACTCTGTAAGTACACCATCGACCCAAATAAGCAGACATGGTGACTTTTTTATTCTGGTGCATTGTTGTGTGATAGGATTTTGTAAAAGGAAATATTCCCCATGCATTCTGCATAATCATATACAAAAAATAATTTAAGATTCCATTTGGATGGAAGCCATGAATCACTTGAGCCGTTTGCGAGCTGTCGGCAATCAAACACCATTGTACTAATATTTATATCTCTCCTACCAAGTCCATTTCATGCAATACCTTTTGCTGATTTAAATGCCTCACAACATGTGTACTTCGGCACTGACCCCAATTTATTACCTAGTTGAGTTCATATGTATGCATCACAAGGAATTGAATGTTGACTGGGTAAATTAAGTGTGTTGGCCTCGCATTTTACAGGCTCAATTACACCAACTGTTCGCCCCATCCCCAGCACTTGCTCCTGGCACACATCAGTAGTGCCGATCCCACTCTAATTGCTGGGGTCAGCTTTTTGTCACATGGAGTCTGTTGTAAAAATGACAATCCTTTGTTAAAATAACACACTGGCTCTGTGAGTTTGCAGAAATAGGAAGACAACCTTTAACAATCAAAGCTTTCAAGCCCCCAGAAGGTGCAAAAACAAGCATAGGAAAGGAGGTACATAGCAAACTTCAGGAGGGCGTAGGCTTGTGAAATAGAGGGACAAAGGGAGATGAATTTAACATGGACGTTAACGTCTTGATTTTTCTCTCAATGGCTACGCTGACGGGGAATGTGTCGCTTCTCCCCCCCCTCAACTGCTGTTTCTCTTGTAAGTCTTATGGGATCATTGTCCAGGGTGACATTGTGGTTAGCACTGCTGCCTTCAGAGCTGGGTTTAATTCCGGTCTTGAGCTGTTTGGGTGGAGTTTGTGCATTCTCCCCCTGTCTACGTGCGTTTCCTCCTGCCAGTCCAAAGATGTGCAGCTCAGGTTTATGGGCCATGCTAAGTTGCCTGTAGTGTGCTGGTTAGGTGGATTAGCCACGGGAAATGCAGGGATAGGATGGGTCTGGGTGGGATGCTCCTCAGAGGGTCAGTGCAAACATGTTGGGCTGAATGGCCTCTATCTGCATTTGATATGGTTTTCCTCCTTAACAAACTGAGAGAGACAGAGTTAAATGTCAACAGTAGATGCATCGTAGCAATGTGTAGCAATTACCATGCAGATGTTGTGGATTCTTTATCAGTTCTCACACTGTCCCTGAGTACCGAGGGAATCCTAATGTTTTGCTTTACACTGGGAGGAGCAGGTAAATTATAACAACTTAAAAGGCACCCGGAAACTTGAGGAAAACCCCCTTGCTTTCTCTACCTTGTTGACCGAATGCATTTCTCAACTCTATTAATAAAGCATCTCAATTATTAAACAGCACACTGTGATGTGCCTGCTGTCCCCTACCCCATAGATTGGTCACTAGCGTCTTTTTTAAGATTATTTTGCGGGATTTGGGTGTTACTGATAAGGCCAGCGTTTATTGCCCATCCCTAACTGTGCTTTGACTGATGGGCTTGCTAGGGCCATTTCTGAGGGCCGTTAAGTGTCAACCACATTGCTGTGGGTCTGGAGTCACATGTAGGCCAGACCAGGGGAGGATTTCCTTCCCTAAAGGGCGTTGGTGAACTGGATGGGTCTTTATGACAATTGATGACAGTTGTCACGGTCACCATGACTGAGCCTGGCTTTAGCTGCCATACTTTATTGATGGAATTTAAATATCCCTCTAGTTGCTGTGGTGGGATTTCATGCGGTCTGGTGACATACTAACTGAATGTGACTGGCATCTTCATATCCATAAACAGAGGCATCTGGGCAGATGACGTTGGCTGGAGATTCAACCACTATGGGAGCTGGATACCTGAGTATCCCACTGGTGACACCTGCTCCTCTGGCATTCAGCTGCTCACTAAGGTCATTGTAGCACACTTGCAGCACATGTATCGAGACAATCAAGAGGCATTGGGCGGTTATTTGGATAGAACTGGGTTTCTGGGGGAGAAAGGAAGGGATTTGCACTAGGTAAGGATGCTCATTTAACAAGCTAGCACAGGCATGATGGGCCAAATGGCTTCTTTCAGCACTGAAAATGCCTTTTTTTGCCAATGTTCTTTGAGAGCACACTGTCGCTACCATGTTTATGTCTTCATGGAATCCATACTCTCTTGGTCTCCTGGGGAATTGGCTGTCTATACATGCATCCTTACAGGCTGCTATATTCTGAGTGTCTAGCATCCCAAGTTTGTTCTTATAACCTAGACTAAGGCTTTCTCATTCTTTTAAGTCCTGCAGCCCTCTTCCTTTACACTTGAACATCAATGTTTCACTCTTACCCCATTCCTTGTCTCCCTTTCATCTGCTTTCTCGATGTCAGAGTGGCATCGAACTTTATGCCATTCATCATTGGCACGTTTTGCACAGGGGTCAGTTGTCTGGATGGCTGGTTAGCCATGCAGAGTGATTCCAACAGCGTGGGTTCAATTCCCCACACTGTGGTGACCCTCAGGCTGAATCACCATCAAATACCTCTCTCTAAATCCAGTAGAACTATGGTTATTTTACACCCCTACACCTTCTAATCTTGAAAAACATACCTTCCCCATTTGATACCACATTCTATGTGAGTTCTTTGAGTCCTTACGTGAGCCCAGACCAGATTTCCAGGTTACTGCTGAATGATGTTTATTATGATAAAGTACATGATGATGTTTAGGCAGCACACACAGAGCTGCGCAGGGTCTAACCTCTCTGTAGAACACACACTCATAGCTATGGGGCTCACAATGACATTGGACCTTGGCTCAGAGGCTCAGTTGGTTTTTGTCATGGTTAATCCCAAACAGGTCAATGACACAGGACTCTGTGCTGTACGGTCTGTTCCCAGGGACGTGCACCGAGATAAATATTGACTGGAGAACCATGAACTCGGTGAAAGACGTTCTTTGGTCTGCCCGAAACTTGTTGGTCTTACAGAGCAAGGAGTTGACCCTTGACCATGTGTTGCAGACTGGCACATTCCCAGGTCCAGGACAACGTGCCAAGGGATGCACTAAAGCTTGGGGGCAGCTGCCACCAAGGGGCAGTGGGGTATAGACCACCGTCTAAGATCTTTCTGCCAAAGTTAAATGGGGGTCTATTCAGTTATCGGACACCCCACCCCCAAATATATGCAAATTGAGTCTTGTATGTGTAAGAGATGCCTTTCGTTCATTGGATAGAGTCAAACTCCAACGTTTTCATTTCCTTGATATGCTTCTGTACAGAACCAAACTGCATTGGGATGATGAGACAACAAGATGCAGGGCTGGATGAACACAGCAGGCCTCTCTGCTCCTATGATGCTGCTTGGCCTGCTGTGTTCATCCAGCCCTGCACCTTGTTATCTCGGATTCTCCAGCATCTGCAGTTCCTACTATCTCTGCATTGGGATGATGTATATGTGCAAAGATTTTTTTTTTATGAATAAAGTATATTTTTGAAATAAAAAGCATTAGCTCAGAGGCCCATCGACACATTCACTAAACACTATTTCTACACCACATCCATTAGTTATCAAGTTCGCCTGCATTTAGGGCGAAGGAATACACATTTGGAGCCACGTTCCTGGTCCAGAAAGAGCCACACTGTGACTGAGTCCTAAAGTATCTAAGAATCCTCATTGTCCCACAGGCACTTGGCAACAAATCCAGTACATTCCCTGAACAAAGCTTCCTCCTCGTTCCGTTCAGAATCAAAGGCTCTGAAATTCTGATAGACTCCTGGCGATTGGAAACTTCACTTTCTTGATCAGTTTGGTTGCCTGGCACTGCGCCATTCCAGATTTTCCGAACATTCGCCCCCATTGGAACTGAAGCTCGGAGAGTGGATCACCAGAGATCACATCCTTCAGTTCAGCAACGGCAGGCAGGATCTTCTGACCACCTCTCACGGTGGGTTTGGAGTCAGGAAGCAGGCCACCTTCCCACCTCCCCACCTCCATCGAGTCTGGGGTGGGAGCACCCTTGAGCTGGGTGTACCCGCACTGACAATTAGCCACTAATGGGCTCATCCTGTCACCAATGGTATGGATGGAGCTGTGGGCAGGCCTGGTACATGGGAAAACTTGCACAAGCCAAAGGTCACCTCCTGTCCACCCACGCACCATCAGTGATTTGGATCCTGGGATACTCCGAGATCCTAGGCCCCGTGTGGGTGTCATTCTGGCAGAAGCCACTAGCCTCTCACTGACTCCATCCTGGCAGGCCTCTGAGTGGGTGATCCTCACGATCATAGAATCCCCTGCAGTGCAGATAGAGGCCAATCGGCCCATCACCAGCCCTCCAAAGAGCATCCCTCCCCCACCCAAACACCATATTTCCCATGGCCAATCCACCTAACCTACAAATCTTTGGACTGTGGGAGGAAACCGGAGCCCCCAGAGGAAACCCACGCAGACACGGGGAGGATGTGCAAACTTCACACAGACAGTCACGCGCGGCTGGGATTGAACCCAGGACCCTGGTGCTGTGAGGCAGCAGCGCTAACCACTGAGCCACCATACTACGCTCTTGCTGGATGGAATGTCTACATCTGAGGGTCTTGTTCCAGAGACAAGGTTCACCAGTGACCTGTTACCGTAGTGGCAAATATTGTCTACCAATTTTTGACTTCCATCACCTGATTTCAGTGTCCGAGAGTGTATTGGAGCAAAAAATGATGCTTATAAAGGATAAGTCAGAGTCTCAGAATTAATATGCTGCAGAAAGAGGCCATTCAGCCTACTGTGCCTGTTCTAGTCTGGCTCTGTTGTCTTACACCAGTCTCCTGCCTTTTCTCCATATCCTTGCACACCATTACCATACATAAGGCAACCAATGCCCTTTGTAATTAAACTTCAATACTGACCTAAAATAACTGCTGTCATCACCTGACCATGTTAAATCACTGAACATACTTTAAACTACCTTCATCCTCCTCCATGTTAAATTCATTATTTCAGTCTGGGTGTGTGTTTAATGCCACATTTTAATTTTTTTTGTGTGGGTAACATGTTATAAAATTCCCCTTTCTCTCACTGAAGAAAGCCTCACAATCTCACTCCTTCATTTTGACCTCGTTAATTCAGTTTTAATTGAAGTGTGATAGCTACGTGCTAAATCATTAATTAAAAATAGACAGTGTCTGCTGAATGATACCATCGAATGCTAAATTTTGA